CAGTGAGCTATGATGAAACCACTGCACTGTAGCCTGGCAACAAAGTGGAACATGTCTAAAATAAAAATTAAAAAAAAAAAAAGAATCTGGCTCAGTGTCCATAGCACAGTGGTTACAGTGCCAGCCACATACACTGAGGCTGGTGGGTTCGAACCCAGCCCGGGCCAGCTAAACAATGACAACTGCAACAAAAAATAGCTGGCCTTGTAGCAGGCGCCTATAGTCCCAGCTACTTAGGAGGCTGAGGCAAGAGAATTGCTTAAGCCCTATAGTTTAAGGTTACTGTGAGCTGTCACGCCACAGCTCTCTACCCAGGGCGACAGCACTCTACTCTGTCTCAAAAAAAAAAGAATCTACTTTAAGTATTGAAGTATTTGGCCTGAACAGGATCAGGTTTGAGGCATCTACAGAGTGGGAAGAGATGATGTGAGGGAGGAGTGAGCCCCTACCTCTGAGTCAGCCAAGAAGCGCCACTTAGGCCTGTTTTGTATTTAGAGATTGAATATAAGAGCATGTTTGCAAGAAAGGTTCCACTGCCTTTAAAAAAGGGGTAGGGCCCCTGTCTGAAATTCATCCTGAGAGGTGTCATACAAGGGATGGAGTGATTTTTACACACAGAAAAATAAGAAAAAAAATTAATTCCATATATTTGCTAGATTCTGAGAATCTCCTCCCTACCCCCTAAAATCTGGATGGCCCTTCCCCTTTGGGAAAACTATACAGAAAGCCTAAGTCATTGAAAATTATTCCTTTCCAAAGTGAAAGGGAGAAATTTACATCTTGTAACAGAGCCGGGCTTTCTTATCCAAGTATCCAGTATTTGTTTCTCCTTTTAGGACCATTTCTAGAAGGTACAAAAATTACTAATATTCCCATGTAGTGGATCTTAATATTTGCAGGGCCATGGATGACTTTAAGAAAGATAAAAACTATGGATATAATTTTGTGTATAATTTTAGGAGTTTCAGTGACCCAGCCCTTCCTCCAAGCCAGTCCATGGACTACATTACTGACACCCTAACACACAGGCATTCACCCAAGTGTTTTCTAAGAAGCATCATCAGGAAAGGGCACCAAGGTGTATGGTGGGAAAATCAGTTACTTTGATGCCAAGCAGATGTAAATGTGAGAACTGGCTTTGCAACATAAGAAAGATACAGCATAGGCCCTTGGAACCTGTCTCTTCATCTGTCCATTTGCCAAGTTTCTTGTGAGTTATTAGAAATAATGTACAAAGACAGCCACATAAGAACTCAATATATCATAGATAATAACGAAGAATACAATTCAGCCAGTGGTGTGGTGTAGCTCACAGGTCTCATGCTGACTTGCTTTGAACCTGCAACATAGCCACTGTGAATCACCAAAGTTCCTGTGTCCCCAGCAGCTATCACCCTTATGGCAGCTGTGCTTTATATCCCAAACAATAGTAATGTCTGTGTACCTAGCCCAAGGCCTGATACACATTTTTGGTCTTAAAGAAATGCTGGGAGGAGGGATTTTGAATACATCCGCAAGTATTGATTCAGCATGTCTCCCCACAGCCAACCTGCAGTCTCCATTTACACTGGTGAGATTCTGTGACCATCTTGGCTTACAAAGTACTTCTGTTCATCAGTGGAAAGGCATTGCCCTCCTAACAGCAAATGAGACACAAGGGAGCCTTGGACTTTTTTTTTTTATTCTTTCATAATGTGACATCCAGATGAGCTCTGATCTCTGTGTCAATACTATCTCCCTAAGGTTAGTTCCATTTCCTACTCTGCACCTGATATCTGCAGCTCCCACTCTCAGTGAAAGGAAGCTACAATTCTGAAGCCAGAGGCTTGGCATTGAAGCAGTGGTCTCCATGAGCCAGTGTGGGCAGGGAATGGAAATGGACATTCCTTTCAGGAGAGGAAGCCGAAGGGTAGGAGACAGAGTGGTTTAGCATGGGAGGTAGGTTGCACAGGGACAGGGCAAAGGGCATCTCCTGAAAGATGGGAATTGGGAGTGGGGAACTGGTCTGGGGCTGTGGCATCGGGGAAAGTAGGGGCTCTTGGGGGACCAGGTGCAGTGCAGGTTGCAAGGGAATGGAGGTCTCCACTTTGGGGCTGCTGTCTTGGACGGCGTAGCTCCTGCCTTCGGGGATGTCCAACTCCCACCGAGGATTTGGATTTTGGACTGCAGTCTCAGTCTTGGTGACAGTTGGGGGAGGGCCCATGTTGATGGCTGCATTCATGCCATAGTGTCGTCGCTTGTTAATCCAGTACAGCAGTGGGCTGTAGGTGAAAGTGGCAGCTTTCATCACCTCCACCCACTGCTGGGCTTGCTCTTCCCGCCGCAAGTTCTTCCTCCAGTGCAGAAAGAGAATGCAGCCTCCGGTTACCACCGAACATAGCCCCAGGAATCCAAAGTACAGTGACACCCACACTGAGGCAATAAGAGAAAGAGGCTGGCTGGCTGAGAGCTCTAGCTTAGAGCCAGAGCTGTTCCTCTCCTTCACTTATCCCATTCATCAGTCCATTTCCTTCCATCCCTCCTCATTGACTTGCCCCTTCATTCTCTTATTCACTCAAAGCTAGATTTCCAGGGAGCTTAAGTGCCACTATTAGCCTTTACAGATCAGGAAAGCTAGATGTAAGCATGGCCTGCCCAGGCTCAGGAATGCCTTTGGTTCCCAGCCCAGGACCCATCTGATCCATTAGATTAAGAAGCCTTGGGAAGGGCAAGGCCATGAAGGTAGTAAAAGTTCACCAGTTGATAGGGACACCAGTGTTCCTTCCCATTCCACCACACACCTTCAACACTGAGCTGTTGGTCCTGGGCTTTTCACAATATCTCTTCTGGTGGGCAGGGCATGGTCTCTGCCTTGGTTTTCTAGAGCAGACAATCTCCTAACTGCTTAGCATTCCTCCATGCAAGCAGCCACCATGCTATCCATACAGAGGGTCTTTCCTAAGTATTTTCCCCTTAAGCCCTAGGGCACAAAGCAAGGGGCACTTACCGCCAGGGAGGCTCAAATCCTCCTGTGGGGAATCCATAGAGTTAAGCTTGGTACCTGGCTGATGGCTCTAGGGAGAGGGAACTCATCTACCCATCTGTCCAGCCAATAGGAATCCCCAGAATGCCCAGGCCCCATTGTTCCCTAAAGGAGAGCCTCATGGGTTCTGAGCATTGGGCATTCCAGGGACAGTGCCTGTGGAGTGGTCCTGTATTCATGGAAGGAAGGGACTCCAAATAGTGGTATCTTCTGGGCCGAAGGGGCCAATCTACCCCTAATGACAAACCCACAGAGCAGCCCCCAGGAAAGGGCCCTTGCTCCCTTAGGGATATAGCTATGTTTCTGGTCTTTAGGAAACAGTTGGGAGGAACACACAGCATTGGGCAGACCTGCCGGCCCTCAAGTCTCTGACCAAGTTTGTCAGAAGAAAACCTGCTCAAGGGAATCATCTAGTCAATATTCCTACTTTGGCTCCTATAATCTCTCTTTTTGTTACTAGCATTCTGGGAGGTAGATGTGGGTGGATCACCTGAACTTAAGAGTTTGAGATGAGCCTGAGCAAGAGCAAGACACCATCTCTACTAAAAATAGAAAAACTAGGGGGGAGTGTCATGGCAGAACCTATAGTCCCAGCTACTTGAGAGGCTGAGGTAGAAAGATTGCTTGAACCCAGGAGTTTGAGCTATGATGCCACAGCATTCCACCAAGGGCAACAGAGTGAGACTGTCTCAAAAAAAAAAAAAAAAAAAAAATTGGCTCAGTGCCCATAGCTCAGTGGTTAGGGTGCCAGCCACATAGACCGGGCCAGCCCGTTCAAACTCAGTCTGGGCCTGCTAAAAACAACAGTGACAACTACAAGAACAAAAATAGCCAGGCATTGTGGCGGGTGCCTATAGTTCCAGCTACTTGGGAGGCTGAGGCATGAGAATTGCTTTAAGCCCAAGAGTTTGAGGTTGCTGTGAGCTGTGACACTACAGCACTCTATCAAGGATGACAAAGTGAGACTCTGTCTCAATTTAAAAAAAAATCTCTCTTGTTTAGTTACCTTCCTTCAACAATGCTGGTTGGTATTGCCTAGGTGTCAAGCCTTATGAGGGCTCCTTACCATCTGGCTCTGCATCTCGTCCAGCATCACCTCCGTCTTCAATCTTCACACACCTCTTTCTGGCCAGGCCAGATTCCTTAATGGACCCCGCTCATTCAGGTTTTTGGAGTTGTGCTCATGCTGTAACTTCCCTGAGGAGCCTCCCTCCCTAACTTCCCACCATCTACTCATCTCTCTAGGCTTAGCTCAACCCCTACTCTGTGGCTAACAGTCCTTTTAGTTGACTTCCCAGAATCACATCATCTCTAGTTTCAAGGGACTTTGAGAGCTGTCTAGCCCAACTCCCATCAGATGCATAAGTCCTGAGGGTGGATCTTCCCTACCCAGCCACTAATCCCCCTGATTCAGGACTTAACTTGAGTCAGGAACTTGTTCACCACCTCCTGAGGCAGACTGGTCCATTTACAAGCAGTTCAATTAGAAAGCTCTTCCCTAATCAAGCTTACTTAAGTTGGCCTCCCAGCAGCTTGCATCACTGATCCTAGCTAGGCTTCTTGGCACCATTTTAATTACTCCCCCCTTTCTAATCCTCCAGTGTGTGACATAGGACACTTTTTAGCACAAGAGTTCTCTCCAGCATCCACTTACCCTTAGCTGTCCTCCTACATTAATGGCCCCTGCTTTTCAGTCTCCTATGCTGGTTTCTCCTCTTCTCCCCAATCTCTACATGTTGGTGTGCCCTAGGATTCAATCCTGAGTGCTCTATCTACAAACACTCCCTCAGTTATCTCATCCAGATTCATGGTTTTAAACATCATACATACACAGACTGTGTGTCTCCTGGCACGCTCCTCAGAACTTTAGACTCATATACCCAATAGCCTAGTTTACATCCCTCCTTGCCAATCTATGAAATTATCTCAAACTAACATGTCCAAAACCAAACTCCTGATCATCTAACCTCCAAAATCTACTCTATCTGCATCCTCCCTCCTCTTCATAAATAGCATCTCTGCCCTTCCAGTTGTTTAAGCCAAAATCCTGCGAGTCATCCTTGACTCTTCCATTCTGTCACAACCACATTCACTCCATTAGCAAAATCTTCAAGCTTTCTTTCAAAAATACACCCAAAATCTCACCACTTTTCCATCGCTGTCACTACTATCATCTCTCAATTGGGTTATTGGTATCCCTGTAGGATGACTAACATCCTGGTTTTCCCAGGACTAAGGGGGTTCTCAGGACATGGGGTTTGCATGCTAAAACCAAGTTAAATCCTAGGTAACAAATTAATCACTTGTGGGAGAGCTTCCATCCTTATCCCACATACCCTAAATTCCACCAGTAGCCAGAATTATCCTTAAAGTTGATCATATTACTCCTCTGCTGAAAAAGCTACAGAGACTTCCCATCTCACTCTGACTTAAAATCTTAGTCCTTGACCAAGGCTTACAAAGCTTTGAGCCATCTAACCCTCCCTATACCTTCTTAGACTCAGTTCTACTGCCATGCCCTCACTCACTCAAGACACAGTAACCTCGTCATCAGGGCCTTTGCACTTGCTGTTCTCCCTGCCTAGTAGTCTCTTCCTCTAGATATCCATACAGATCATTCCTCATTATCTTAGGGTAAATCCCTCTTTTATGTTAAGGTAAAAGTGCTACATACCTCATTGCTGAATATCACTATGGTCACCTTCAAAGTACTCCCCTTGGGAAGCTATGCACCAATGCCAGTGCCTAGTCCACCA